TGTTTATTTTATTTATTTTTTCGTTACGATTTATATTGAATATATTTTATTTAAAAGTTTTATATGTACTTTTGATTATATTTTCCAATTACACTGAGTAAAAAATGATTGAAGTTATATTGTTTAAGATTAGTCTACCACAATCTCGCTCTTCTACAAATATCTTACTGTTGTTTTGTATCTTATTAATTTGTTAGAGTTATCATATCTTCGTCAGTCCTAATGTTTGAATCATAAAAATACATAAAACGCGGTCAAGTGTTCGTCTGTCGGGGCTACACTGATATACATGTTAGGCAAGAGAATAATTGGATCACGTAAAGATTAGGCACCCGAGATTATTTTACATAACCTAACCTAACCCAAGAACAGTACTTCAAAACGAGTAAGTTAGTAAGAATTACCCATAATTACATACAAAATATACCTTAGAAAATATAATATAATATAACTAATATAATAAATAGTATATTATGCTACTGTACTGTACATAGGAGATGGTGTATAGTTGTTGTTGGTGATTAAAGGTAATTTTCACCTTTAGACATCATTATCATCATCACCATTCATCATCAGTCAATCATCATCATTATCATCATCATCATCATCATCATCAGGAGGTTAAATACCTCTCATTTATCCACAGGCATATGAAGCAGGTGCGGAAAGTCAATCAAAGATCTAAATAAACACGATTTATCTTCAGCACAACAACGACTTAAAAACACTTTATATTATTAAATTTAGGAAGTGAAAAATGTGAAGAAAAATTACAGAAGAAAAATGTCAAAGTAAGTATGACACAAACCCATACGAGCTGAAACTATGGGTTGGTGAGCTTATCGATGATCGGTTGATAAACAAGAAATATATATACTTTAAAAATAATAACTTCCCAATGAACATTACATGAGTATCGATAACTTTTCTTTTTCCTGGAAATATCTGTTAGGCCAACGAGGTCGTTTACCAGACAGTACCTCGGCCGGTCGACTCAATCAGTGTGGTGGGCCTGAAGTGAGCAGATAGTCCTTGACCCAGCAGTAAAGCCGAGGGTGATGGGCCTCTCAAGCCTGCACAAGGTACCAATGGTCTCCAGAGAACCGTCTTCTTCTTGAGGCTGTGATTGTTTTTGTTTTCTTTCGTTTGGCTGAATAAATACATACATACATACATACATACATACATACATACTTCATGTAAATCCACAATGAAAACGTGGATAAGATAAATCTTGATAAAATCACACGGGAAAATGGAAACAACGGAGTACCTTAGCTTTCGTCTTTATTCAAGACATCTTCAGAGGCAACTAGATTACATGGACAGAGAGAGGCTTAAATAAACAGGGTGACCTAAAAACATGAGGTCAGGTCATAATGATGACATCCACTAATCCCCACACCAACACAAACGTAGAGGAGCTTTTCTGACCTGACCTGACCTGGCTAGTCACGTCACCACCCTTCTCTTAAGCTCCTCTACGTGTGTGTTGGTGTGGGGATTAGTGGATGTTATCATTATGACCTGACCTCATGTTTTTAGGTCACCCTGTATATTTAAGCCTCTCTCTGTCCATGTAATCCAGTTGCCTCTGAAGATGTCTTGAATAAAGACGAAAGCTAAGGTACTCCGTTGTTTCCATTTTCCCGTGTGATTTTATCAACATACATACATACATACATACTGATCTTATTAATAATGTAAATTTAGACCCATTTTAATAGGCCTACTTTAAATATAAAATCCTTGTTCTTATCACAATATTATATAGTTTATTATCTACTCTATATGAGTTAAAATTTGTGTACCTAGAGTAAATATAGACTTCTTATGTTTTGATTCTCTCTTCATAGTAGAAAAAACCTCAGGTATTATGATAATCTACTATGCCATCTACCTAACTTAATACCTAAACTAACCTCTGTGAACTATAGCTAAACAAAATTAAATAACATTGTTCCACGTAGGATTTCAACATGAAGTGTAACTCTTGAGCTCTACCCTAAATAACTTCCAAGTACCAAAAATAACAAGATATTGTTAGTAAAAAATAATGAAGGATATAAGTGATTCTAAACATGTTTGATCATAGTAGGAAATAATGTGAAAATGTTGATATATTATAGAAACATTCATCTAGCATGGTCAGAGCTCCTCACATTAACACACATCAACAAGACTATAAACTCTCTCTAACTTTATTTCATTTCATCACAGCTATAATGAAAACAAAACAAAATATTAACCTTCAACTTTACATACATTATAGTATCAAAGCTATAACTGAAGTTAGCTTTGATAAGGTCAGAATCATCCACCAGCAAGTGTGATGACATCAGAGTTGGACCTCTATAAACCTTGAGAGTATCGTAAGAGCTACAGAAAATGAGAAAAAATGTACACAATATAAGTAACATTTATAATTTCTCAGATACATTATAAATATAGCAGAAGATTTAAAGATATCTAAATGTTACTAAATAAAATATTATTTGTTTTTGCAATAGGTTCTGGGCAGGCTCACCCTCCTCCAAATTTTTCACCCAGATTCCTGTATTTTTATGAACACACCAAATTTTGTGATTGCAAAACAACTTTTAACATACCAATTGTGTATTGGGGAGATTTTGCAGACACGTAAATCACTTCTAAGCCGAGATAACTTTGTTCCAGTCACCTGAGGTTTAGACACCCTCGCTTATTTCACCTGATGACTAACCTAACCTAACCTAACATAACCTAGTATAGCCTATTCCAACCTAACAAAATCCAATCTAGACCCCTAGGTAGCGTTTGGGTGTCTCATCTTCAGGTGATCACTTTCTTCTAAAAAAACCTTAAGTGTTCACAGTTTCGAATGAACGTTATAATGAAGGCTAGTTGCCCCTCCCTCCATCACCATACAACACATCATTCCTCCCTCCATCACCATACAACACATCATTCCTCCCTCCATCACCATACAACACCTCATTCCTCCCTCCATCACCATACATTACACCATCCCTAGTCTCTACTTCCACCAACATTCACAGCCCCTATCCACCATCACTTCATTCTGCACTATCACCATCATCATGCACAACACTATCCCTGCCTGCATCACCATAACCCGCTGTCCATGTGGGGGGTCGTGAGTACAGCAGTCTCCTGGCTCACCCTATCATCGACCCCCCTCCCACCCCCTCCACCGACCCCATCTATCCTTCCTGTAAATCCCAACTCTGAATTCCAGCTCACCTCCACCTGGCGGGGGAACCACTGAATTAAGCACACGACTCACGTTCCTCCACACACCTCCTCTTTTCCCTAAAAAGACCTCCAATATTTCGTCCAAAACTAAGACTAAAAAGAACTAGGGGATGGCCAGCGCTCGGGCTTTACCTGCTGCCAACGAGGTCGTAACTCGCTTCAACAAGGGCCTCCCTCCCTCACACTGGACGCCCATGGCAACACAAACAGCGTATTTTATCTCTGCCATATCGCGTTTTTCCCACATAGGGAAGATTTCTGTAGCCGCGGACTTATTCCCCTCACACACAAGGGGGGAGGGAAAATTTACTCCCTGCTTGTCGTGCATAAGAGTGAGACGCAACTACGGAGGTCAGATCTATGTCAGCGTGTGTATACTGTGCAGTCTTATGGAGGGGCGGTGTCTGTTTCATTTTGTTATTCTGAAATTGTGTGGAAGATAAAGTTATGGTTTTGTCATTATTATTTTGCGAATAAACTATACACGTATTGTATCTGTGAACATGTGCATCTGTCTGTCAGTTTGTTTGTGTCGTGTTTTTTGTTTATTTACTTTTCATTATATTTTTTAGTCGTGATGGAACAGCGAGGGAAAAATAAACAAGTGAATAATATGAGTAAACAGGAAGTTGAATTTACATGACTAGACTATAGTTTACTGTGTACAGGGTATTATAGTTTACCCTAGTGATGATGATGGTGGTGATGGTGATGGTGGTGGTGGTGGTGGTGGTGGTCACAGTGATGAGGTACTACTACTACTAACAACAACAACAACAACAACAACAACAACAACAACAACAATAATAATAATAATAATAAGTATAAAAATAATAATAATAATAATAATAATAATAATAATAAAACAATAATAATAAAAGCATTACCAATAACAAAAAACAAAATAAACAACACTAATAACAATAACAGGAAAAACAAGAAGCGCAAAAATACAAACAAAGAGAAAAAAAAAAGAAAAAATGAGAGAAAAGTAAACCCCAAGTGGAGGTCATGTACTAATGTAAGAGCAAAGAAGCCGCTTGTACGATGTTCTACTTAGAGGGCTTCAGAAAGACGTACATGTGTGTGTGTGTGTGTTGGCAGTAGGGATTTACCTGTACTGGATAGGATTACTCCCCTCCCCACCAAGACCCCTCCCCCCCCCTTCTCTACAGCGTCCTCACACCAGCCACCACCAATAGTCGAGCCAAAGTTCCCGATTTGCATGTGTCAACAAGGTGGTCAACCCCAGACCCTCCGCCCCTCCTGGCCAAGTTGAGGAGCGACAAATTGCTTTTGTAAGCGAAGGAGAGACTGCTGTTTATTGTCTCCTGCTCTGCCTGCTGAATATATGTATTTCTCTACCACTTCCCTTTATCTTTCTCTGTATAGATTTTTCTTTCTTTCTCTATTTCTTCATCAATTTATTCCCCTCACTGAAAGTCTGAGGAGATAAAGTGAAATGTCGGTCCGTCTGTCATATACTCCTCTTCCACTCCTGATGTTAAGTTTGGTGCGAGAGTGTATTAAAATAAGACCTTTAGCTGCTGGTTGTGTTGTTCCTGCCCCGAGTGTTGTGGAGAGTCACACACACACACACACACACACACACACACACATACTCTCTTGCTCTTTTTTTCTCTATACATCTTTGTATTAACCCGATTTCTCACTTATTGGTCATTATGAGCACTTGTGAGTCACTTGGTGTCAGCATGATCATCTGTGAGTCACTCGGTGTCATTATGATCACCCGTGAGTCACTTGGTGTCAGTATGATCATCTGTGAGTCACTCGGTGTCATTATGATCACCCGTGAGTCACTCGGTGTCATTATGATCACCCGTGAGTCACTTGGTGTCATTATGATCATCTGTGAGTCACTCGGTGTCATTATGATCATCTGTGAGTCACTCGGTGTCATTATGAACATCTGTGAGTCACTCAGTGTCATTATGATCACCCGTGAGTCACTCGGTGTCATTATGATCATCTGTGAGTCACTCGGTGTCATTATGAACATCTGTGAGTCACTCAGTGTCATTATGATCACCCGTGAGTCACTCGGCGTCATTATGATCATCTGTGAGTCACTCGGTGTCATTATGAACATCTGTGAGTCACTCAGTGTCATTATGATCACCCGTGAGTCACTCGGTGTCATTATGATCACCCGTGAGTCACTTGGTGTCATTATGATCATCTGTGAGTCACTCAGTGTCATTATGATCACCCGTGAGTCACTTGGTGTCATTATGAACATCTGTGAGTCACTCAGTGTCATTATGATCACCCGTGAGTCACTCGGTGTCATTATGATCACCCGTGAGTCACTCGGTGTCATTATGATCACCCGTGAGTCACTCGGTGTCATTATGATCACCCGTGAGTCACTCGGTGTCATTATGATCACCCGTGAGTCACTGAGTTTTTATCACATGGTGCTATTACCACCTTTGAGTCACTCGGTGTCATTATGAGAACCTATGAGTCACTCTGTCATTATGAGCATTCGTGTGAGCTATGAGAGGCCAAGCGAGAGGTTTCAACGGGACATAAACTTCTGACTCATAAATTCTGAATGCGGATAAGAATTTTTGAGTGAATGGCTACCACACTAATAAGCTTCTTGTTCTACCTACCATGAGTCTGTTTGTGAAGTTGTATTGAAATGTCCAAACAAAAACCGACTTTATCGTCCAGACAAGATTGTGTGTGTAAGAACTGACGGACCAATGGACGAACAGTTGCACAAACAGCAAGGTGATAATAATCCCTTTAGTACTTATTACCTATTCGGTACTGGATTGAATATAACAACAACACCAAGCACTGATAGAAGCCTTATTTCTGCTGCTACCTGCACTCTACTCCTCCGAAATTGCCTTGTTATCACTTTCTAATACGGAACAAGGAAGTCTGTATATAATACCAAAAGGTCAATAGAAGCCCCATAATCATGTTAACATTAATTGGCTGATATTCACGATATTACAACATATATATATTCTAGTGTTTAGATTGTTGATGCGCAGTCCTTCCTCGCCAGTCCGTGAAAGAATACCCACGGAGCGCTAGTTTGACTTCATCCACGCTAAGACGTCTACCAGTTAGCGATCATTACCTCGAGTTCTGTTGTAGACGTCGGAAAAATGGCTGCTGGAACAGTCAACGTGTCTGGGGTATTGGCCTATAGGGCTGGTGGGGTGGCTTTTGGCTACCCCGAAGGCTTTACACTGATGGACATGGTCCCTGATGACGTGAAGCCTCTGATTCACTCCCACTGGAATAAGTTTCCTCCCGTCAACCCCATGTGGCACTATCTGCTGGCAGGCATATTCATTATACTGGGAATTCTTTCCTTCTTTGGTAATGGAATGGTCATATATCTGTTCTCATGCAAGAAAAGTCTCCGTTCACCAGCAAACATGTTTGTTGTCAATCTGGCATTCAGTGACTTCATGATGATGGTGTCACAGTTTCCCATGTATGTCATGAACTGTTTTGGTGGCGGCTACTGGATACTGGGAGCTTTCGCCTGCCAGGTTCACGCCTTCACAGGGGCCATATTTGGTCTTACCTCACTATTGACGTTGGCTGCTATTGGATACGATCGTTACTGTGTGATCGTGAAGGCATTCGACGGAGGACACATCAGTTCCGGGAAGGCTTTCTTTATCATCCTGTTGTGCTGGGGCTACTCCATCGCCATCGCCATCTGGCCCTTCTTCGGCTGGAACTCCTACATTCCTGAGGGCATCCTAACCTCCTGCAGCTTCGACTACATCAGCCAAGACTGGGGCACCAAGTCCTTCGCGTTGTTCCTCTTCATCATGTGCTACTGCATCCCACTTACTACCATCATCTTCGTGTACTCACAAATTGTGAGCGCTATTCGTCAACACGAAAAGGCTTTGAGAGCCCAGGCCAAGAAGATGAACGTTGAAAATCTCCGCTCCAACGTCGATGCCAACAAACAGAGCGCAGAAGTTCGCATCGCAAAGGTTGCTGTGGCCAACGTGTTCCTGTGGGTACTCACCTGGACTCCCTATGCCTACGTCGTCATGATGGTAGGAATTATCTTTATGATTCATATATGAATGATAGTTATAGTTCTTAGAATAATCGTTGTAACTTCTGTGCAGTGTGGATATCCTTGTTATATGAAAAACGTTATAATATTTTTGTGTCCCCAGAGTTTGTTCGGCGACCAGTCAAAGGTGACACCATTGGTCTCCGCCCTGCCTGGTCTCATCTGTAAGACGGCCTCCGTGTACAACCCCATCATGTTCGCCATCTCCCACCCCAAGTTCCGCCTCGCCCTCCAGGAGACTCTTCCTTGGTTCTGTATCAACGAGCCTAAAGTAGATAGCATATCCACCGACGGTGAATCGACAGTTTCCAAGACTTAATTCAAGTAAGAGACCAACACCTCCTTGTCCTTATCCACTTTGAGAACAGCTGGTTGAGGATGAGCGGAAGTGGGTGTTGTATATTGGAGTTTCCATTAAAGAAAATTTCTCGATACCAAGTGTAAGCTCGGCAGCATGGCGATCCAAGTGTCATGATAACTCACGCTAGTAGTTTAATCTCAGCTCCCCGTTGACTTCATCCCAAAAAATTAAATATATTTTCGATGACTTAATGAATGTAATCTGGCCATAACTAATTAGGTGTTAATGACCTGTACCTTTCTTAATATTCCAAATCGATACCAAATAAAATTAGAAGAATCATATCTTGTTATATATAGCTGTTCTTACGATACATACTTACAGTATATTATCTATCGTAAACACGATTCTATTACCCTTTTATTTTCCTCTCCTGGGTTTCACAATCATCATATACCACTGAGAAAAAAAATTAACTACAGTGATTTCATTTCAATCTCAAACCTTCCTAAGATACCTGTCATGGGTTGCATTTGGCTTACCCACGCAACCAACTCCAAACTTTGTTTACAAGAGATGAGGCACCCGGCGAGCCATAACTGCTACACATATTTTTCCATTAGTGGTATGATAATCTTCCATAGGGGGAGGCCATTGAGACAATGTTGTACTGTTCATCGCCTCACGCCCCAGAAACCTCATTTTTAGTAGTATCCCCTTGGCCATGGGTTGGTTAAGACGTCGTCCCTATCCTCTCCCTCCTGAAGGGAGCGGGACACCACACAGAGTCCTCCACCACAACTCCGTCCTGTGGACAGTCGTCGACACGAGATTAAGTGTGTTAACCTAGGTTTGTTATCCCCGTGGAGATATCACGTGTGGAAGCCTGGTTGCGACAAAAGCAATCCAGGCTGACAGTAAATGTATCACTTGAAGAATTAAGGCTCTGTTAAGTCATACCCATAGTAGAGTAACCACATGTGTCCCCAAGTTGAAAATTCCCTCTTTTAGAAGATTAATTTTATTACAGCGTGATTCGTATATCCATGCAAATTGTAAATCATTGTATGGAAGATTGACAAATAAATGTAAGTGCAATTATCTGCCCGTATCTGTGATCCTATCTTATTATTACTAAAGGTAATGACTGATTGGTTATGACAAAGTATAACCAATAACTTAGATGGATGTTGAAAATTAATGGAATTCATTAAATCATCATTTATCAAGTATAAATCATGGAATGTCGGGTGGTGGAGTGAATTTCTACGTAGATTCACCATAATCTCTTACAATTAACCAGTGTGAAGGTATCGAACTCTGCAGTAAGAAATATAAGAAACACAATATATTATAATCTTTATATAATATAATCCATTCTTACATCACTACGATCCCCGAACCATGACAATACCACAGAGGGAGAAGGAACCAACACACACTACACTTGATCACTAGACTCCAAGAAACACTCCACCAATCATGTGTGTGTGTGTGTGTGTGTGTGTGTGTGTGTGTGTGTGTGTGTGTGTGTGTGTGTGGATATTTCTAATTATTTTCCATTCCTTCCTATCTCTCTCTCTACATTTGTCTTGCACCACTATTATGTCATCCCTCGAATCACTTCAGGTAATAATGGAAACAAAAATAGATAATTAAACTTAAACAAAATATACAACAAAAATAAATTTAAACAATGTATAACAATAACCGGACAACGAAATTTAACAAGAACAATATGAGAGAGTGAAACAACTACCATTATTATTTTGAACTGATGCGAAGACTAACTAATTTACCTAAGAACTTATATAATAATAATAAATAATAATAATAAAATATATAATGATATGGAGGGACAACTACCACAGCCATTACTATTCATGTACGTGTCAAAATGTGAAAATATGTTGGGTGAGCTAACCAATGTGTATGTGCATATCATGAATGTGTAAACAGGGGGGATAGAGGTGGCAGATGTACGTTGCATATACTGAGGAAGCAAAAACAGTTTATTGATAGTCCTACAAAAAGTGAATAGTAGCTAAGAAGTTACAAGATGAAGATGATACCTTTAGTGTAATTGTTTTGTGTTGTTGTTGTTGTTACCACTGCTACTACCGCTACCACAACCACCAACAACAATAGCTATCATTACCAGCATGATTAATACCATCATCTCTACTACCAGCACCACCACTAACTCTTCCACCACCACCAGCACCAGCACCACCTCTCACCATATCGCCAATGTCAAGACCTCACAGCCTCTACCCTCACCAGTACCTCCCGGAGACTTGTACTACGATACACATCCCTGGCTCATTTGCGTGTGTCTCTCTTCTTACTCTCTAAATGTTATCATCATCGTCGCGTCTCAACTCCAAGAAAACGATAAGCCGTAATCACTTCCCTGGCGACACTCTTAGGATAAGCTCTTACAGGTATTCAAGTCTAAAGAGATAAGGACTCCTCACACACACACACACACACACACACACACACACACACACACACACACACACACACACACACACACACACACACACACACACACACATGGGTAAAAGCAAATTACCTCTAGACACAAGACATAGGGGCGACACTTACCACGCGTGGCCAATTCCCCCACAATTTTCCCTCCGAGACCAGGTTGAGGAATGAGTCCAGGACGCAGAATGATAAACAAATTACATAAGGTAGAAGCTTAGGGGATACAGGGGCATGGGGTGGGGGCAGAGAGATCAAGACAAGGAGCTGTGTGTAAAGAAGGTCTGATAATACGTGACCTGGAGGGAGTGTGTATGAGGGAGCATGTATGAATGATCAAGACGCTGCCTGGAGGATGACGTGTGATGGCGGGTGACGGAAGTAAGCCACGGGTGAAGGTGTTTGATGGGGTCGATAGGAATATCATGGTGAACATATTTTGAACGATCAATAAACAAAATGACTTTGTTAATAATTCCTCATACCAAAACTACTGATGAATTATTTACCTCTGATTATATTTTATGCGCATTTTTTTTGTAATTATATAAAATCGTGTCATTCTGTTTTGTTCAGGGTAGCCATAGAAGATTCAATATTGCCGCGCTGACAGACTAATGTGCTATGGATACAGAAGGGATTACGCACACACACACACACACACACACACACACACACACACACACTAATCGTATCATACAGTAATTCATCATTCTTCCCTCACCATTCGTCCAAACCTAAACCCTTCAGGTAGTGTTAGGGTGTTTAACCTTCATATGCAGTATGGTGATATGCCAAACTACCCAATTTCGTATAAACTCGGTATATGCTAACCAATACCCACTTGGGAAGACAAACCGAGTGTGTACTTTAAGGTAACGAACCACAGAATGTGTCCGTGTGATTCATAAACAACTGAAGTGGTCTAATTAATGTAGGAACTTTAAAAAAAAAACCCTCTACATCAGATACAACAAGTAAAAGTTCCATTTCCAGCTTTGAAGGGAAACACAAAGTTAATTTCGAGGATCATAAATATAGAAATATACGAGAAGGATTTGGCGAGGTTTATGTTTCATCTCCAACACTAATACTGAGAATTCCGCCATGACGGATGATGCCAACAGCCTGTCAGAACATCCTAGAATAGTCTAAGCTTAACTTTATTATTACGATCAAAGCGTCTCAGTTATTAGATTGTGTAGGAGTGACCTACGGAGAGATCCAGCAAACACACCCTGACGCCGCACTCAAGAGCCTCGTCCTCAGAGCATGAGAGTCAATGTAAATCTCACTGCTAACAAAGCAATAATTCCGTCTGCCTCAGAAATGTCAACACAGTTTGGCTTTGATGAATACACAGGTAATGTTTGGTGCGCTATACCTCGCCATACAGGCTACTCTACATCACTGAGCTAATTTGGTTTTCGGTAGGTACTCTATGTTCACTACACCACACCGCTCTCGCTGGAACACCCGCCTCAAGCTTATAAAATGCCAAATCTGTCTCTATTAAACCTAAAGAAGCCCACATTAGGTCCCTCTCGGAGCGGCTTTGTGAACTCCCTATACAATCTGCTTAGATTAGGTAGTATAATGTACATGGTCTCCCTGACAAATATGGGTCATAAATCTGGATGGTTGTGTTACTGACTCTAGGATTTTAGGAATGGTAACATCCTCCACCGCCAGGGAATGTGTGGCGCTGTATGTTAGCGTCCCACCATTCGTTTTCTATCTTTACCATCAGCTCTCTACGTCACTCGGTCACTGACTAATCAACTCACCCATTCACTGACGGAAGAAAAGGCTTTTATAACCATATCGTGTCCAAACTTAGTTGCATTGGTTAACCCACGACACACCACACAATGTACTCAACACACTCCATACTTCTAACACCCTACACGTAAGACACCCTACACATAACACACCCTACACATAACACACCCTACACATAACACACCCTACACGTAACACACCCTACACGTAACACACCCTACACATAACACACCCTACACATAACACACCCTACACGTAACACACCCTACACATAACACACCCTACACATAAACACACCCTACACGTAACACACCCTACACATAACACACCCTACACATAACACACCCTACACGTAACACACCCTACACGTAACACACCCTACACATAACACACCCCACACATAACACACCCCACACATAACACACCTACACATGCCCCTACACACACCTACACGTAACACATAACACACCCTACACGTAACACACCCTACACATAACACACCCTACACGCAACACACCCACACGTAACACACCCTACACATAACACACCCTACACGCAACACACCCTACACATAACACACCCTACACATAACACACCCTACACGCAACACACCTCTACACGCAACACACTCTACACGTAACAACATACAATCTGTCTCACTTCAAAAAGCTGGTCT